GTGTGTGTGTGTGTGTGTGTGTGTGTGTGTGTGTGTGTGTGTGTGTGTGTGTGTGTGTGTGTGTGTGTGTGTGAGATAAACGACACACCATCAAAGCACCACAGCACGTGTCACATGCACACAAACACACACACACACACAAGACGGACCTGGATCCAGAAGAGAGCTGCTGCATAGGCACGGACAATGTCCTCGTGTCGACAATGCTTGGACAAGAGCACGTGCACCGTGCCATCAGTAAACACGGCAGCCACCCGCCACGTCTCCAGTGCCCGCACCACATCTGCTTGAACACCTGCACCCACGCCATCCCTATCCCGCACACACACACACACGCACGCACACACACACACACACACACGCGCGCGCGCGCGGGTTGGTGCACGCAAAAAGGGTCACAACAAACACCAGCTCCGAAAGAGGCAACATGCACAATTACATTTCAACGGCACGCATAGCATAGACACAAAGCGCATTCAGACATGAGGCAGTCACAAGCGCGCAAGTTCGCACAGTGAACTCACTTGATATGACTCCAGGAGGACCCGAGACACACCTTTGCATGACCCTCGATGGCAGGCGCCCCTTGGAGGTGGAGACGCACGTGAAGGTGACGATGGGCGTGAAGGTGAAGATGGAGGTTGTGAAGGAATTGACGCAAGCGATCAGGAAAAGGGGTGTGAGCGTAATCAAGACGCCAACTCCCAGCAAAACAACCATTACAAGCTTGCATTGACACACACACACACACACACACACACACACACACACACGCACACGCACGCACGCACGCACGCACGCACGCACGCACGCACGCACTGACTTGGGAACAGCGGCTCTGCCTGGTTTGCGGCGCAGACGGATGGCACGCGGTTTGTGCGCATGAACACGGCGCACGCATGGTGCAGTCTGTGTGCATTGAACGCTGGCATCTCAAGCGCCCGCACAGCCCGATAGTTGCAGTAGAGGTGCATGAAGACGAGCGGAAGAAACATCGCCCACGCCATCACCTGCCCCAGTGTCAGCGTGTTTGGCGTGAGGAGGCATCGGGCAAGGTCATGAATTGCTCACACTGTGTGTGGGTGTGTGGTTGGTGTTGCTGTATTGGTCTGCGTAGCTGTGGCAAATGGAGTGTGCACGTACCCGAGACTCTGCAGCCAACGGCGTGATGGCCAGGCTCACAACTAATGCTGCAAGGTTCACCAGCGTTTCCTGTGAGCCATCCTTTGCCGAAACGTCCGCCATGTTGTTCAGTCTGCACAGAAGCAGTCGAACAGGGCGATGTGTGTGTGTGTGTGTGTGCGTGTGTGTGTAAGAGAGAAGCTGTGAGGATGGCAGAGTGAAACACTGTGGGTACAGTGGCAATGCATATGCAGACAGCTTTTCAGATATACAGATACACAACGTGCTCACGCCCCTGCATATCTTAACCTCCCTGCGGCCAAGCTGCCAACCTGGCCTGATGTCGGACGAGAGCGGCGCGGGTTGCGCCACCGGCAACGCCGACAATGGCACGGAGGAAACTGGCCATACACATGAGAGGGAGAAACGCAGCCGGGATCAGCGGAGACACCAGCTCCACAAGCATCGCCATATCGTTCACAACATCAGCCACCTGGCACATGCACGTGAGTGTGTGACGCAGTGTATGCATGCGTTGTGCGTGTGTTGTGCGTGTGTTGTGACAGTGTGTGCCAGGGATTGTGCTGAAGCACTGATAGCGGAGACATGCACGCACATCAGCATACACACGTCTGCACACACACACACACACACACACACACACATCGCACGCATCACCACATTTGCCACTTGCGCACCAATCGCCACTGCTTTGCGTTCCTGTCCATGTCCGTGCTCGAGTACCACGCAAACCAGATGCCAGCCAGCATGCCTGTGTGGCGTCAAGAGAAGGTGAAGTGAGGGATGAGGCGTGAAGTGCAAGATGAAGTCTCGTTGGTGGCAAGCACAGCACAGCACACACACGCACGCACGCACGCACGCACGCACGCACGCACACACGCACACACACGCACAAATACACACACGGACACACACACGCACACGCATATGGTGAGACCTGTTGCGTCCCGCAGAAGATTCGTGTATGTGGCGGCAGCAACCGTGGCCTGCGCATCTCCGACACCAACACCCTTCAACACGGCGTAGGTGGAGATG